ACAACTAAACCTGTACCAGTGAAGGGTTATTTATGTGAGGAGCTCTAAGTAACATTAATTTGGTTAATAGTACCATGATTTTGGTACCGGTAACAATGGTTTGGTACCAGTAACATTTAATTGGTACCAGTAACATTAACAGGTACCAATCTTATATCAATGATTTATGGGCTAATACCACTACAACACCCGAACTATCAGAAAAATGCCACTTGTGTCCTATTGTTTCCAATATTCCATCTATGTCCTGAACTATTATTCTGTTAGTGTTGACCGGCGTTGACCGTTAGTATTTAACAGAAAATCCAGTCAGCGTTGACGTGGCATCTGACGTGGAATTTTCATTATCAATTTTCATTTATTTTTCCATCAAAATAATTAAAATAAAGAACACAAAATAAAAATTATGTAAAATTACAAAAATAAAACAAGCACTCAAATCAATTCACTTTCTTTCTCTGCAACTTCTGAAGAAAAATCTGTTGTAGAGGCTAGAGAGGATCCGAGAGAGAGGAAAATCGGCAACGATGAAGACGATGAAGACGCGACTGGAGAGGATCCGAGAGAGAGAGGGAAATTGGCAACGATGAAGACGATGAAGAGAGAAGAGTCCACATATGTGGCTTCGTTTGGGAATCAGAGTTGGCGGATTTGTGTTGAGCGTCGCCTTCTAGCTCGCGCCTTTCCCGTTCCCAGAGTTCCCAGGGTTTCTGGTTTGGAACGAAGCTCTCCGAAGTTGTGGTCAATTTCTGCTGCCGCGACGACGTAAGCGAGGAGGAAAGGAGGCTTACTCGCAACAGAAGCGCGATGGATCTGGTGACGGATTCGTAGCCGGTCAATAGAAGGCTCGTCTCTTCGAGATTAGAATCGCCAGTAGGAGGCAATGATGGAGATGGATTTGGTGATGGATTTTTCCAGAGTCACGATTCACAGCTCCTTTCTCCAGCTGCAGGTCCCGACGAGTTGCAATTCTCCCTGCCGCCAATCCCGTCCAGATCCCCAAACTCGAAATTAGGGATTGCAAACGAAGATCGAGCTGGCGGAACATTGTTTGCATCAGTGGCTCCGGTGGTGGCTCTTCCACCCGCTTATCCTCAGATCCCGGTGGCGATTGTTCTGGCAGTGGCTGAGGAGACACATTTTGCACAAGAGAGAAGAGGAAGAACAGAGGCGGAGAGAAGAGAAGAGATTAGGTTAAAAAATACTATTAATTTTAGTTTAAAAAAAATTCTTGAATTTAAAGTTTTATCAATTTTTTATTGTCAAAGTTTTATTTAATTTGAATTAAAAATGTGAGGTATCAATGACTTGGCATTGCCACGTAAGCAAAAGTCAATGTTAAGTTGACCGTCGTTTGGTCAACTGTTATCTTTAACAGTCAATGAAATTAGCAGGATACAAATGGTACAAAATATAATAGTTCATGACATGAATGGAATATTGGAAACAATAGGACACAAGTGACTTTTTCGTATAGTTTGGGTGTTGTAGTGGTATTAGCCCATGATTTATTTTGAATGTAGGTATAAATGGTTTAGACTTTGGCTCAAAGAGTACAGGACAAACGGAATGAGGAGCTCTCAGCTGAGTGAATCATGCAACAGCAGCCTATAGAAGCACATGAAATCAGAACACAACTTCTCCCAGTTTTTTGATTATTTCGACAGGCTACTGGACCAGAAGAAGGAAAATGGATAAGAACGGGAACACCAACTTGTGAATGAGGCACCGCCTGTTCGTTACTCTCACAACGTTTTTTCCAGACAAGTGGAGAAGCTCTACACTTACAATGTTTTCATATAGTTCCAAAATGAGGCCGGCAAGAGCTTTGGATATTATATTGATTCGAACGATGAGTTGAAAGAATATTCTTGGGTTGCCTACAACCTATACCGCTATGAAGGACCAAACTTCGATATAACAGACGAGAGGATTCTCCATGTACAAATGAAAGAGCGGAAGTTCAGATGTAGTTTCCATCACTTTGAAACTTGGGGTTGGTTATGCAAACATATTCTGAAAACAATGGAACATCTTGGCTCTAGTCGGCAGAATCGCGAACTTAGGCGAATTCGTGACGAGTACATCTTACAAAGATGGACACGACATGCAAGAGAAGAAGTGGAGTTCAAAATACATGAGCCCGACCTATAAGTACAAAATTCTTTGGGTGCAAGGGTTAAGAAGTTGACAGGGACTATAAATGTTTTGGCTACTAGACTCGCTGCAAATGATGAGGTATATGAGCTGTTGACTTCTACTTTGGAAAAGCTCAAAATAGAAGCTGATGACATCATTAGAAGTAAGTTTCACTACCTTTTCCCATGCTTTCAGTCACTGGTACATGTCACACTGGTAACAGCTACCAGTGTATTTTGCTCACTATTAAGAGTTTTTAGTTATTAATTTTTACTAGTATTTGGTATCTGATGGGTTAGCTTACTAACCCAGGATTCAACTTTCAACATAGGGGCACCTAAATGGCCTGAAAACATGAATGGCGACCCTTTGTCAAATCCGGAGCCCACTGACAAAACAAATCTTATAGGGTCCAAAATGAAGGAGTGGTAGGACAAGAGAATGTATAAGAAGAGGCTAGTGTCGGGTCGAGAAATAGTAAACGAGCGAGCACGAAAACAATTGAATCACGAGCTCAATAGCAAGAGGGACAAGAAGAAAAACTAGATTTTTTGTTGTTGTTTACTTTCATGTTTCGTTTCACTTGTTTTACAAAACATGGCAACCTATCAGAAGAGACGAATAATTTGCTTCTCCAAAAAACATATGATGTCTACGGATGAGTTTTGTAGTATTTTCAAATGCGTTCAGCACCAATAGTGAACCATGTGAAGTATGTGGGAAACATCCGACAGGAATATCGGTAGCAGTGATATCCTATATACCAGCATCACTGAAGTTGTACCAGTACTAGTCACAACAAGGTTACTAGTAGCATTAATTTGATACGAGTCTTATTAATCGTACCAGTACACCTGTTTTGGTAACAGACTGAGTATATGGTTAGTTGGTTACTAGTAGCATAATTTTGGTACCACAACCACTGATTGCTTACCAGTAACATTAATTTGGTACCAATTTTATTAATGGAACTAGTAGAATTAATTTGGACGGCGGCTTACTATTATGAATTAGTAATGGATACTAGTACCACTGATTTGGTACCAGTCTTATTAATGCTACCAGTAGCTCTTATTTGGTTCCGGGGTGAGTATTGGTTGCTAGTATCATGATTTAGGTACCAATAACATTCTTTGGTACCAGTAACATTGATTTGGTACCAGTACAACTAAATCGGTACTAATGAAGGGTTATCTCTAAAACCACAAGTGCCCATGTAGTTAAAGTAACTAGGGAGAAGGTACTAAATTTTCACAATCAAACACCAAACCAAGTGTGCCAATGTAAGCAACAGTACTTTGTCCAAGATCATATTAAAGACAACAAACACCCAAAAAACTTGTTCATACTTGCAAATGTACATGAATCAATGATTCTACTACTACTGTGACACCTGTGTATATCCACGTAGTAGTCCCTCGTGCATATCCGTAGCTTTACCAGTCATTTCCTCAAGTTACAAATTACTCGGGTCTTCAATGGTTTTCTGGACCATTTGAGCAGACTTGATCCTTAGATAAGTTTGTCCACGCCATTCTCTCTTCCAAATGCTCAGAAGTTTCCCTTCCCACAGATCATAGTAATTCAAGCAAACAATGCCCCGTGTGCGTCTCCCTGGCTGTTAATACATGTCACTTGACGCCAAGGGAAATCTCCCCAGTCGAACTTCAGTTCCAACACCACTTCCATGTACTGAGTTACAAAATTTACCACATGCTCACCAAGTCTTTTTAGGAAGGGTGTAAATTTGCCACCGCTGGCGTCAAAGAACTCGAACTTCATGTCTTTCAAGTTAACACAATACAACACCATTTTTGAGGCAACAACGTAAGGCAAGAACCACTGTAAAAAAAATAATAAAGCATAATAAGTGAGAGTGTGAAAATCCAGAATCCAAACAAATAAGCTAGTCTCAAATGAATTGAAGTGGTACTGGTGATACTCAACACTTCATGCAGGATGTGTTGACCTAAGAATAAATAAATTGAAGTGTTGGACGCTACTTACAAAGTTGCAGTTGTGTAGTGTCTTGCCATTGAGCCACTTGCTCTAGTCAAGCATATTACACACCTAACTGATCCACTCACTTTGCGTGTTCATGGGAGTGTCCCACTCCATCAGTGTTGCTACATTTAGCTGAAATATATGGCAACATTTAGGAACAATTGACATAACATGGAATGATATTACTGGTACCGGTACAAATATAGTGGTAGTGTATCACTTGTATAAATACTGGTAAATTAGTAGTGGTACCGGTACCACTAGATTGACCTTGTACTGGTAGCATTGGTGTACCAGTTGCACTAGGACTTAAATAGCATCAATATAAAGTATCAGGAGTAGCAGTTGTTTGAAACATTCTTACCGCAAATTCGTGACTGAATACCGATCTAGTGATTGACCTAGTGATGTCGGTTTTCCTGTTTAGGTAGCCGGCGTAGAAAGTCAAGAAAAATTGGTGGTCATGGCGTTGCCAAGTATGGCTGACTTCGCATCTGCTCTACTTAGGGAAAAATTAATGCCGACAACAACGCTCAACACTTCAGCATCATCCCTAGCATATTGGGACAATATTGCAAAATATCAACGTAAGGAGTGAGCTGATATAGAAATTAGTGAAATTGACAGCTCCAAGGAAACAAACCATACATGTCTCCTACTTCGCAACAAGCATACTCCAACCTTAGATGCCCAAGAGCTACTGGGTCCAATGGGTCTATGTGTGTTCCGGATGCGCTTTCAGAAGATGACTGGGCTATCAGTTTGCCTGAATCCGTGATAGACAGCTTTGGGACAAGTCTTGTGCCATCAAATGCACGGTAGGAAGACAACATCGCACTACTGGGATGCCTCTTTGAGCGGAGTAGGTAAAATTTGTTGCAACGCAATGGCTGCTGGAAATCATCATCACCAGCATCCAACGCAAGGTCTGCTTTGATACTGGCCAACGTCTCTGCTAAAGTTACTAATGGATCCATCAAACTCCCCTTTTCATCATATCTCCTGTTCAGATTAGTTTCTAAGAAAAATAAAGAGAAATCGTTAGGATGGACACATCATGCGTTGTCCGTACCATTAATATGGTACTAGTAATAATTATTGAAGAATTTCGGCCTACACGTTTTACCTCCAATTTGCACAACGTCAACAACTGTGCTACACTTCACCATCCCTTCACCACCAACCTCCTTTTCCTCAGCATCAAGAGTGGGTTTGATGATGGCCAGTGGCTCTGCTATTGTGACATCAGTGTCCAGTGCACTCTCCGTTGTGCCATGCTTTGTTCCTGATTACCTTCTACTAGGGATAACAGGGTAATATTTAGAATGGACAAATGGTCAACTATATATGCTCTATGCGACAGTCAAAGTGGTGGGTATAAATTATGGTACTACTGGAGGAGTGGTACCAATATCGCTCGAATGGCACCAGTACCACTGATTTGGTACTAGGACCATTGGTATGGTCTTGGTAACACTGCATTGCACTTGTACTGGTCCTACTCCAGTGCTACCACTTCCACCTCAAACACTCACCTCCACTAAACTCATTGTTATCCACTTCAGCAGGAACGGTCACTTTCCCAACGTACCCATCTCTAGAACTACTTGCACAGGAAAAAGTACAAAATTTGGTAGTTGTGGTACAAGTACCAATCACATTGGACGTTTTTACACAACACATCACCTTGTGCTGTTATAAGCGCACTGCTACGGATCGGGAAATCGCCGGAATCGATAAAGCAAGAATACGAAAGCGAGAATCGAAAAAACACAGACACACGATTTACGTGGTTCACTAACACGATGTGTGTTAGCTACGTCCACGGGCGAGAGAGAGCCAGTTTCACTACATCAAGGAGATTACAGAGGAGTATGAGAAGTATTTATAGTACTTCTCCATTTGGGTCTAAACCTAATCCAATATGGCAAAGGAAACGGTTACAGACCAGGCCCAAAACCCGAACACAAATAACATTGAACCCAAATAACATTGGACCCCACTCGCTGACCGGGCAGTGAGACCCCCGACTACCGGTCGTAGCGGCTGATAGTCCGATTCAAGTCACATCAACAAATCTCCACCTTGACTTGAATCCTCTTCCTCTGAAATCTCTGATGTACTATGCTCCTTATCTCTCTCTCCAGCCATCAATGCCCCGCAGGGCGGAGTCACCCACTCAAGACATTCAGCAAGTCCAAGCAGTGTTGGAACTTGCCATGTGGAACCGGCTTCGTGAACATATCAGCAGGATTATCCGCGGTGCCAACCTTCTTCACCTTAATCCTCTTCTCTGTTCTCAAGAAATGATACCTCACGTCGATGTGCTTAGTCCTCTCATGGTGGACTTGATCCTTGGCCAAGCATATTGCACTCAATCTATCGCAATACATCACTGCCTGATCATGATGTAGACCCAGATCACCAACCAGTCCCTTCAACCATATTCCCTCCTTAGCAGCTTCTATCAACGCCATATACTCTGCCTCAGTAGTAGACAATGTCACCGCCGACTACAGAGTTGCCTTCCAGCTCACTACAAAACTCCCAAGAGTGAATACATAACCGGTCATCGATCTCCTCGTGTCAACATCTCCAGCATAGTCCGAGTCAGAATACCCATGTTAGAATTTAGTTTATTCTATGTAATTCCTCGTTGCTCATCTTGCTAGATTATCAAAGGTTGATAGAATTACCTGAATTCCATGTTGTTGATCGCCAAGACCTTGATGCGGAATCAGGAAGATGATCTACAGCCGGACGATACTTCTTGGAGCACGATCCAGGAGGTTTTGTCATCTTCCTCAACCAAGCCTCCTTAGACCACTAACGGGAATCCTATGATCTTCCTGATGGGGAGAAGAAGAGAGTGTTTGGTCTTGGTGTATTGGGGACCACAACCTCTAGCACCTTTATATACAAGTTTCACATGGGCTCCCATAAAACCCAACGTGAACAAGTATTGGGTTTCCACCCATTTAGGCCCATATCAATGCAAGAAGTCTTTGGGCTCTTAGTTGGATCACTTTCACTTAGCCCAATATAAACAAATAGCTCATATAATTGTCAAAACATGTGGCCCATATCATTATAGGAAATAGAATTTCCTAACAACCCAGACACCAAGCACTCTGTATCACTTCCGAAGCTAATCCCCACATCAAGTGTACCCTTAAGGTACCGGAAGATCCTCTTCACAGCCTGCCAATGCTCCTTTCCATGTTGTATCATGAACCTGCTGACAACACTAACAGCATGTGCAAGATCAGATCTAGTGCATACCATGGCGTACATCAAGCTACCTACTACACTAGCATATGGGACTCTCGACATGTACTCCTTCTCAACCTCTGACTACGGTGCATAAGCTGAGGATGTATGAACATTCGAAGCACTAGGAGTATTTAAGGGCTTTGCTGAAGACATGCCAAACCTCGACAGTATCTTCTGGATGTAGCTCTTCTGTGACAAGAAAAGCTTCTTCTTCGACCTGTCCCTGTAAATCTCCATACCCAAGATCTTCTGAGCAGCTCCCAAATCCTTCATCTCAAACTCAGCACTGAGAAGCCCCTTTAACTTTTGGATATCAGACTTCGACCTCGAACCTATGAGCATATCATCCACATACAGAACAAGATAGATGATCGAACCATCCTCCACCTTGTTGTGATACACACAACAATCATATGGACTTCTGCTGTAGCCCAACTCAAGCATGTAACTGTCAAATCTCTTGTACCACTGCCTCGGAGATTGCTTAACCATACAAGGACTTCTTCAGCTTACAAACATAGTCTTCTTTTCCTGGAACCTCGAATCCTTCTGGCTGAGTCATGTAAATTTCTTCTTCCAACTCTCCATGCAGGAAAGTTGTCTTCACGTCTAGCTGCTCGAGCTCCAAGTCATAATGTGCCACTATTGCTAGTAGCACTCTGATTCGGTATGTCTGACCACTGGTGAGAAAATCTCATTGTAGTCAACTCCTTCCCTCTGCGAGAAGCCACGTGTAACCACCCGAGCTTTAAATTTCATGCCCTCTTTAGAAGTGATTCCTTCCTTCTTCTTGTAGATCCACTTGTTTGTAACAATCTTCCTTCCCTGTGGTCGTTTGACTAGCTCCCAAGTCTGATTCCTGCCATGGGATTCCATCTCATCTCCCATTGCGGCAAGCCACTGATCAGCTTCGCCACCCGAAACGACTTCTCTATAGGACTGTGGCTCACCTGCATCCACTTCTTCAGCAACCTGAAATGAATACGCCACCATGTCCTCGAAACCATACCTCTGTGGAGGTACTCCTGCATTCGCTCTCTTCGGTCTACTGGAAGCTATAGACTGTTGAGCTCCTGCACTAGACTGTGAAGTTTCTGACTCTGTAGAAACATGCTTATGTTGATCATCTCCACCTTGGTGCTCAAACTCACTCTCATTGAGAGTTTGAAGCTCCACTTGCTTATCAACATTCCTGCTACCTTCAACAACAGTAACCTTCAACATGGGGTTAAACATAGACTTCTCATCAAATATCACATTTCTACTGAGTATAACTCGATGCTCAGAAGGTGACCAGACTCGAAATCCCTTAACTCCATCTCTGTAACCCACAAATACACCCTTCTTTGCCCTTGGGTTCAGTTTACCCTCATCCACATGATAACAAACAGGACACCCAAAAACTTTCAGTGAAGAGTAATCAGCAGGCTTACCATACTACACTTCATAAGGAGTCTTAAACTCGATACCTGTGTGAGGTCCATGGTTGATCAGGAAGCACGCCATGTTCACTGCTTTTGCCCAGAATCTTCTCTCTAGTCCAGCATTAGAGAGCATGCACCGTGCTCTCTCCAACAATGTCTGGTTCATCCTTTCTGCAACGCCATTCTACTGGGGTGTATCTCTCACGGTCCGATGACGGTCAATCCCTTCATCCTTGCAGAATTCGTTGTACTCAGAATTACAGAACTCCAGACCATTGTCCATTCGTAGCTTCTTGATCTTCTTCCCGGTCTGATTCTCCACCAATGTCTTCCACGGCTTGAACTTCGTGAAAGCCTCACTTTTCTGCTTCATCATGAAAATCCAAGTAAATCAAGAATAATCATCAGTAATAGACAGAAAATACCTACTGCCTCCAATAGATTCAACTCGTGAAGGACCCCAACAGTCGGAGTGGAGGTAATCCAGTATCCCCTTCATCCGGTGGATACCCTTCTTGGGAAACTTGCTGCGATGTAGCTTCCCAAACACATAATGCTCGCACAATTCCAAATTTTACACCTTATGCCCGCAAAGAAGATCCCTCTTCAACAGAACTTGCATCCCTCGTCCACTCATATGCCCCAGTCTCATGTGCCAGAGAGTGGTCATATCTTCCTGATGAACCTGAGACGATGCAACTACAACAGAACCAGACAACACAGACCCTTGTAATGCATACAAGGTCCCACGCTTCACGCCCTTCAGCACCTTCCTTGAACCGTTGCAGACATACACAACTCCACCTTTTCCTTTGAAACTGAAACCCTTGCTGTCGAGTAGACTCAAGGAGATCATGTTCTTTGTCATTCGTGGAACATGCCTGACATCATTCACGGTACAGAACGAACCATCATGTGCCCGAACCTTTATGGACCCGATTCCAACAACCTTGCAGACAACTCCATTTGCCATGACCACGTTACCACCATCTATCTGCTCGTAGGTTGTGAAGTAATCCCTGTTCGGAGACATATGGTATGAGGCTGCAGTATCCAGAAACCACACATCCCCACGATGTGCCTTCTCATCTACAGCCAAGGCGAGATCGTCTTCAGAACTGTTGTCCACTTCTGCCACGGCAAATGAACCTTGTTTCTTCTGTTGCCCTCTTCTCTTAGGACAGTTGTACTTCCAATGCCCCCACTTCCTTACACTTGTGACAAGCATCACCTGGCTATGGACCGGGACCCTTGGAATTCTTGTTCGAATTCCCTTTACCAGATTTCTTCTTTCCCTTTCCACCTGTAACAGCCAAACCCGATGCCTCACCACCTGTACCAGATCCAGACACCTTATGCCTGATCTCTCTCGTATGAAGAGCAGACCTGGCATCCTCCAACGACACGCTTTCTTTACCAGCAATAAAAGAATCAACAAAATTCTCATATGAACTCAGCAAAGAAACCAGTAGGATTAGGGCAGCATCCTCGTCATCAACTTGAACATCTATATTACGCATAACAAAATAGAGTTAAGCTGTTCGAGATGTTCCCTCAAAGGCGTACCTTCTTGCATCCTCAAGCTGAACAAC